AGGAATGCTGAAGGAGGTTTTTCCAGAGATCTTTTTCAAGACTTGTTATATCCAAAGTCACGTCTGGGTGCTTCAGAAACAGGCTGCCCTTAAATTATTCAAAGGGTAATAGCCCTACCTGAAATGCTGTACAATATAACCTCATACACTGTATTTTTCTACTATTACAAAATAAACATTACATAGGAAAAGCTACTCCAGGAGTCACTTGAGGCTAAACAGTTAATGCATTCCAAAAAGAAAAAAATAAATAAATCAGGAAATAGCAAGGTTAAATTCTAGGTGTTAATAAAAATGTATCCACCCAACGCTGCTGCACCAGACAAGTTGAGGCACTGTAGTCTGGCATATATACATTGCCACATATATGCCACAGCAGGAGAAACACCTCACTTTCCAGAGCGTGCTAAAAATGGGGTTTACTCAGAGGAACCATAATTTGACCACAGAAGTTCAGTGTTAATCTGCTTAAGAGTACAATTCAGGGCTAAAAGGCAGATTACCTCTCCCAGTAAGGCTTCGTGAATTATACGTCCAGGGGACTAAAGCCAAAACGCCCACCTTCACTACAGAAAGGTAAAAAGTTGAGTTTTCTGGCATAGATCTTACAGATATCTCACTTGCGCATGTCTCTTTAGAAAGGGAATTGCTGCTTCAAGATCTATCACGCTGAAGAGGTAACACTTTTAACTCAAAATACCTTCAGGGAATAGCATCCTACTTTACCTGGTTCGCTGTCACGACAAAAATACCCGCCCCAAATGCCGACCTCCAAATGCCACAGAGAACCATGAGCGTATCACGGCTCCTCCCTCTCATATATAAAAGACTAAAATTTGCATCTTAAAAGAGACTGGAGTCTGCAGAGAAATTGTAATTGCTGAAGATGAAACGATGTCGGGATTGCTGCATATATTTGTTGCGTGGCAAAACAAGCCCACTCACCCAGCAAAGCTCCTCCGACCATGGGGAAAAACCATTCCTGAGGTTTGAACATTAAACACGCAAAAAGGCGGGAAACACAAGCGCCCATTGTCTGTGTAATTTCAGGTGAATGCTCCTGCGTACCTGCATTAATCTACAGCTTTTATTTTCAGGACTAGTTTAGTATTTACTGTTTTAGGGCACACGCCTCATTCCTATCAAAGGTTGTACAGAGCTCAATTAGCAAGAAATGATTCTGTATCTTCTCTCGAATCTCATTTTATCTCTCAAGCCCTGGTTCTGAAGAAAGAAGTCGTTCGTTTCTACATACGGTTTTGCAGCGCGATCACTAGAGCACATAAGTGCTCTGCAAATATTAGCACGTCTGCGTTCACGATGACTTGACTGCTGCTCCGTGCCATCAAATGTACAGTCAGGGCACAGATTATGAAACCTGATGAGGTTTCAGTATGATATGGTTGGTGCTAAAACTACACGTTTAAGGTGTGCAAGCCCACCTCTGCAGCTAGCAGCTCCATTTCCCTGTCCTGCCAAGGGCACGGAGAAGACGAGCGTGTCGCTGCAAGCTGCCCGTAGGCTGGATCCGCTCAGTGGGATGCAGCTCTGCGGCGGAGAGGAGAAAGGCAATCCCTTGCCATGGCATCAAGGTGCCTTAGCCCTAAGGCCCCTTCTTCCCCTCTTCCACTCCTCACGTGTCTTCCAATTTCTGCGACAAAGGAGGCAGCACATCACCGGAGAGTGGCTTCGCTCCTGCACTTCTCTATCCTAAGTTCAGAGTCTTGTGAAAGAGATACCGCTTGATCACCAAAAACTAGATCAAAAAGATGCGAAAAAAGACAAAGCGAGTGAGATTTGCATGGGAAACTTGACTACTCCCATGTCCCAGCTTGAGTGCTCAGCTTGGCAGCTTCAATAATGCTCTTTTCATTCACACACGTCTCTTTGGTCCCCATGTTTGGGGGCAGTTTCACAGGGTTTTTTGCCTGTGGCTTCATCCCCTCCTTAAAGCAAAAGCAAATGTCACCACCAGATGACAACAAGAACACCAGATGAGCAGGGTTGGGCCCCGCATTTTCCATACAGAGCCTCGCACTGCACCAGAGGACTCACTCTCAGCAAGCCGGCTCCTCGACGGGATGAACCATGTGCTTTGCTAAACTCATATGATCCCCAAGTTGCTGCTGACAGTGGTAAACCAGGGACTTCAGAGCCCACGCTGGAAGGGATCGCACCCCGGGGAGCACACGTCCCCTCCGGTCATCATCCCAAGGAGCCCTGTCCCTCCTTTGGACTCATCCCACCCAACCCATCCCTCTGCATTCTCCTTCCCTCCCCAGCCACCCAGTCCGCATTTGTCCAATTCTAAGCCACTGCTCCAAAGCTTCGGGCATCAAGGCTTCACAGCCAAATCCCCTCCATAATTATTATTATTTTTAATCAGAAGCAAACCAACATATTTTTCCTTAGTCGCCTTCTTGGAAACAGCAAGACTTGTTTTGGCCACAGTCTTCTCAAAAATTTAATCTGATGTAGACACCTAACAGGGAAAGTTTAAGGCCAAAATCTGAAGAGTTTGGAAAAAAATCACAAGCAATTGAAAACAGCCTGATATTATTTACAGGAAATCCAACACAACCTTAAAAGACAGTGCTGTCAGTTCTGCTAATAATTAAAAAGCAGCAATCTATGACATTATTTTTAGTTGTGCCCTTACTCTCCTACACACAAGGGTCTTAAAATATCCGCACATCTGGGAAAAGTCTTTTTCCATGTCAGCACTTGGATGCTGTCCCACGGGATAAATTTGCCACACGCATACAGCACCAGTACCAAAATGATTTTAACTCATTACTTATATAAATCAAACACAGGGAAATCGCCCCTGTGCAATCAGTTTAACTACGTTCCCCCCTCCCCGCCTGCCTCTGCTATGGATGCAATAGATCACAGCTCTAACAAAGCTGAAATTCAGAGTGCTGCGGGAGGACTTGCTCGGCTCCGGTCGCACATGTTCCCCAGCTCCTGGGAGGTCCAAGTGAAAGTCTGAATGAGTTCAACGGGTACGTCACGGCGAAGTCTTTGGACACTCACAAGCGTTGGCAACGGAAAAGCCTTAAAAATCTCAAACAAACAAACCGTCGAGCTGACATTTCTTTCCGAACAAAGAAACCCTACCTAGAGCCCTGCGTCCGACGATCCTGGTCACGAAGAGTGTTTGGAAGGAGGGGGGGGGTAAGGGAAATTTCTATGGCAGGAGCAGCTCCCTACCACCCCGGTGCGCGGGGCTGAATGAGGTCCAGGGCTGGCACACGCTGTGCATGGTGGCAGCTCTCCAGAAGTACATGATTGACGTCAGTAACTTGTGTAATCATCCTGCCTTAGCTCGGGTCTATAAACAAAGTTTTGGGGGGTTTGTGTGGTGGTGCCTTCCCCCCCCCCGCCCCCAAAAAAAATCCAGCTCGTGGTAGTTGTATTTTCTCATAGGACTGGAACAGTGAAAATATTTGGAGAAACCTCCACCATAAATTAAAGTGCAGCAATCTGAAAGGTCCGCCTGCCACCGAACTTGTCCTCTCCAGCCTGAAACCTACTACTGGATTTGCTTGTTTCTTAAAGAAAGCCACCACTGGAACTCCTTGAGACGAGTTTTTAGAAAGCCTCAAAACGGTACAAATCAGAGTCTGAAAAATATCACACTGATTAGGACTGATTTCCCCCTTCCCCAACAGCCTTTTTATACTGCAAGCCTAGCAACAGACCGTGCCTTCCAAAATCCCGGGAGAAAAGCTAACCTGGGTAAAACGTCACAGCTCCATCCATCCCACTTGTGATCAGATCTCTTGTGTGTAAAAGGTGAGTTTTACCTACCCATAGGCTAGAACATCAGGATAGATTTTGTCTTTTTTAATGCATACTCAATGCAATCATCTCAAAGCAGTTTTGTTTCAGCTCCGTTGTAATATTGGGATGCCCTGATAGGTGATGTTGGCTACGCAGCAATTGCAAAAGCTGTGCGCTGATGAATGGCACTCTGCAATGTTCACCTGATGTTCTCCAAGTGAGTTACAGAAAGCGAGCTAATAAACACAGTGCTCGGTTTATTCAAAGCAATTTTTGAATCACATCTAATTGCTGTTCAAAACAACCTCTGCAGGATGCACAGCAATACCGTCCTCATTTTCAGGAGAAGAAATGGATAAGACAACGCAATGCTTTACACAGGGCCATAGTTAAGAGAATCTGGACTGGAGATGGGAACAGTTTTTTCTCTTTTCAACGGTAATTCCACTGAAAAATGCTTCAGTAAATCCGAATATCTTCACTCGCCATTATTTTCTGGTGGTGTCATGTCTGAAATCCCTTGCCTTCCCCGCCCTGTGCCGCCTCAAATCCATATTACTGCTTCTTCTCCCTTTCAAACGGAATATATACACAGTAGGTATTTTCCCCATATTCCTTGACAGCATTTTACGTTTTCTGCTACAAAACTGACGACAGATTCTGCTGTGGATGAACGGCAGCAAAGGCAACTTTAAAAAGCATTACCGGAAAGCCAGAAGTTTGAACTGTACTGCCTTTCCACTGTCTATAACAGAGGTATTGACCCTTGCCTTGCTGATGGATGTCCACATCCTTGTTGATATATTTCTCAAAAATCATGAAAAAGAAGTTCAAGGATGAAGGCCAGTTGGTTACGGAGGTAGAGACCACATACATTACAACACAAGAAACTCTAAAATAGCGTTGGTTAAAGTTGGTATTGACACCATATGAGGGGAAAAAAGCCTTTAAAAGCACCGTGCCTACCTTGTTGATGTGCAGTTGCTGTTGCTGGAATTGCTGTTTGTGTTTCTCCAAGAACTGCTGGTGCTGCTGCTGGATCACTAACTGCTGGAGGGCCTGGGCGTTCTGGGGAAGGGGAGCAGACTGCGTGCGCCCCAACGGGCGATGCTGCCGGAGTTTGTGTATTGAAGGGGAGACGCGCTCTCCGCCAACCAGAGACTGTGCATGGAGGGGCAGTCCTGAAAGATACCAGTCTGAAGATAATATGGAGGAAAAAACAGCAGAGAAGAAAAAAAAGGAAGAAGAAAGGAAGGGAGAAAACGGCTGTTGAGTAACGCTGATGGTAACAATGATATATAATGTTAAAACCAGCCACCTCGCCATTTACAGCTGAAGTATCCTTAAAAGAGAACAGATAACAATTAATTACCGTTGGATGGAGTAACACTTTGCTTGCTTTCGAATTCTTTGTTTGCTTGTTTATTCAGAGACCCTAGGGAAACGTTTCATTTCGTAAAATCAGCAATACCTTATGGACCCTTCCATAGCCCGGTGGGTGACATGAACTAAGATCACAGTGATAGTTTGGAGAAGTTTAAGTCTTACAACTTGCCTTGGTATAGGAAGTAATCCCAGGTTCATTTCTAAGAAAGCACCAACCCAAGCTGCCACCCTGCGGCGTCCAGCAATTATACCTTCCTTACAGGGGGCTCACTGGATATGCTGAAGGATGATGGATGATCATGAAGCTGCTTCTTACTCCAGACCACGTAGGGTATGGCTGCCTGTGGCTGTACTACAGCCCACCCCGTAGAAAAGACTAGGGATGAAAATTTCCATGTGATAAACCCCTGACGAGGTTTGCGTTGGAAAAAGGCATTCCCTTGAAGCGTTTCAGGAATATAGGAGCTGTTGGGCTTCAGTATTTCTGGAGAAAGAAGGTAAGTTAGAGGCCAACATGACAAACAGCTAGAATTGTTTCCATCACTGTCCTGTGCACACACGCTAGCCACTTAATGAAAACGTAAAGTTATTTTGGGATAACTTGCATTACTCATATGTCCTTGGCAATTTGGGTGTCTCCGATGACTACCACGTGAAATACCTATCTCAGCTCCGGTAATGGCATGTCTTTAGGAAGCGTCTTGTCTCTTTAGATGTTCTTGGGGTAAGCCAATTCTTGCTTTGCTCTCTGAAAACACACCTTCACGTACTTCTTAGAAAGCTGGGACATGAAGACGAGTCCAACACAAAGCCCAATCCAAGGGTGGAGGAGCTGAGGATAAGCATTTACTTTTGCACATTACACCCTGGGATAGAAAGGCATCACTGGTGTAAACGGCAGTCTCCCTGATGTGGATAAGGCTGCACACACTTTTAGGAAAGAAGTACTCTTCTGCTTTACCTCACTGTATAATGCAAAGTAAAGACTGTGCAAGCGCTTAGTAACATTCAGAAATATTGCCCAGTTCAATGGTCAGAGAAGCTGTACCTTCTCTCTTTCTTCAGTCTTTGGTTTAGAAGAGAGAGAAACTGCCCAGAAGTCCGCAGCCAGTTGAATACAGTGCTTTAGGAACACCTTGACGTTTCTGTCCCAGGACATTATCTGCTCTTCCCACTGATTCACAGAACTGCCCTACGTGGAAGAATTTGAGTCATTTAAAAGCCTCTCTTACTGGGGAAAGATTTACTGAGTTTCTCCCACGCCTTGCTTTTCTGAAAAGAATCATGTAAAAGGGTATCTTATTTTATAAATGCATGTCTCTATAGATGTGTGTGTATGAATGTCTGTGTGTGTATGAATATATGCATACACACACGTAAGTCTGTGTGCGTATGAATATATGAATAATTTGGAAAGACGTGGTCCATCTCCCTTATAGCACAGTTCCCCTTACCAAGAGTTCCAGTTACACAGCAGACGAAGGGATCCTATACAGTTTGCATAGGATACTTTGGAAGACTACCTTCCTCCAAGTGAATGACCAAGGTCCCCCTGTGAAAGCTTTCCAGGGAGACGCTTTGCTCCTCCTCGGGACATACGTGTTAACGTGAAGGATATTATCCAGAGTAACCTGTCACAAGAGGAATGGCAGACCTAAGGAATTCTGTTCTGGTTTCCCCAAACCCCCCTTGTCTACCTTCCATGCACAGAAAGAGTATGCCATCGTGCTGGATCATTTTGCAGCTGTCAGGAGACTATCTCCAGAGCTGAAGGCTATCAGCAGAATACTAATAAATTCCATTTTGCTTCCAAGGAAGTTCGAAGTAATAACTGTAGTTTGGCAGCCAGTCCACTTAGGGCTTTTGAGACCATGTGTTAGCTTGCTCTCTTTCAGTTGGAACGTGTGTTTCTTCTTGTTCCTCTGTTGTTTTGTGAATATTTCTCCTAGGTGTTGGTTTATAACATGTTGTACTCAAGTCTGAAAACACCGCACGTAGCAGGTGGACTAGGAGGAATACACTTGGAAGCAACAACAGTACGCTGCAAACCGAGGGAAGATTTGAGAGAGGGCGAATAGGGAACAGAACAGCACTTCTTCCTACACGTGCTTTAAAGCAAACGTCAGCATGAATGGAGAAGAAAGTTTTGGTGATAGGATAAGAGAGGAAGTCTTCTCTAACGGCTCTTCATCAACAGACCTCGGGCAAAGGGTAACTGGTGAAGAGCTATGCCAGGACTCTGGGTAACCTCGTCATGCCACAACCACCGTGGCAAAAGGAGGCAACAGAAAATTACGTAAAGGTTCAAGGAATCTGCACACGCCGTCTTACAACTCTGAGAGCACTGGCTAAATACCGCGCTTCTGTGCTTCACCTTCCCCATATGTACAGGCTTATAAGCTTATCGCAATGCCACGTATATTCCAGGGATTTCAATGTAAAACCAGACACGAGCCAAACCTGAGAGTCACGCTGTAATGCTTCAGTGATGGACATCTCTCAAGAATTTCCCTTAGAAATGCAATGAAAGCAATCAAAATCAACATGACTATAACTTACGCAGAACATCCTTTGTCCCAACATTACACACTGTAAAACAGAAATACATCTTACTGGGGATTATTGCTTTGATTCAACCCTATTTATAGAAATATGCCTTCCCACAGGTACTTAATTCTGAAAATACGACACAGGGAGTGATTCAAAGCAATTAGCATACTGAAAATGTAATATATACAAACAAATACAATCTGTTCGAACGCAGTTGATTTTGCTGCGTTTTTGCCATTTATAATAATGATGAAAAGCAAGTATTTTAATCTGTGATTTTGTAAATGCATGTCTTTCATTTATGGAATAGAAACTATTCGTGATAAACAGAAAAGGTAATCATGAGACATGACGGTTTTCTCTCCAGTTTAATCTAAAGTGGTTAGAACTCTACGAATACAGTTTTAAATTTTTACCTACAAACTTATGCTTTACTTATGGGAGTAAATGCTTTTTATTTTCATTGCACCAAAATGACAAAGCAGCTTTCCCCTACCTCTGGATGAGATGGGCAACCTCTGATTTTGCAAATGTCGCCACTCTCCAACGTTATCAACAAACACATCCTAAAGGTTCTATGTTACACCTACAGCGTGTATAGATGATGCAGTCTCTCTTTTCTACAAGAGACAGACTTTACAAAAACCCAACAGACGTCACTTGCTCTCTTTCCCCAGCTGGGACTGAGTTTTGCACATTATTTGCGGAGCGCTCACCTGTGACTAAGGGAGTTTGTGCAGTTGGCTGTTCCAGTAAGACCATGTGTTGCAGAAGAGGGTTATGTGCAGTTCCCCCATCTCTTTCCAACGTTGTAGTGCTCAAATAGGGAGTGAGGTGAGTGCCAGGAAATAAAGAGATCCGCTGTTGTAAGGTTGGGAGAGCAAGTCTCTCTGCATCCTGCTGCGCCGAGCCTCCCTGCAAACGCACAATTGATGGCAGAAGCAAGGTTAAGGGATAAATTGGTGCAAGCAACATTTTAAAGGCCGCATCCCCCCCACCACTTACGCTGGAAGGGCCAGTTGCAGGCAGTCCTAGTGTGATGTTGGGCAAAGAAGGAGATGTGTAGAGTGGAAGCTGCGTTACCGAGCCTTCACGATTCACAAGTCTGTGAGCCAGGCTGGTCTGAAAACAAAATCAAGAACATTGTGCTGGTGAGAGAGCATTCGGAGATCGGCTCAAGGACACAGTACCACTTGCGGTGAGAATACATCAGAAACGTGTAGAGCGTGTAACTTCACTGCCGACGTTGGAAATATCGAACAGGGGAGCTAAGCTGTGCTTCAGATCCAGCCTAAACAAGCACAGACTAAGTGCATGCCCTCAATGTCGCTGTCGTAGCCACGCAGGGGTGATGAGACCAGGGTAACCAACACAGGGATGATCTCGCTTTGCAACTGCTGCCAACCTCACTGCCCTACAGAGAGACCTTTTATAGTTTATTTGATCTTTCCTGGAGACTAAAGATCACCTGTGCATCCTCCCCGGTACTCTGCTTCTGCTCAGACTTCATACAGTGCCACTGCAAAAAGCTTTTGCAAAGAAGATTTAACAGCTTACTTGTCCTTCTCAAATATTTGCCCTTTTAAAGCTAAAATGGATTACTTTAAAAAAAAAAAGAAAAAAGAAAAGGCATTACAACGGCTGTTGTTCTCTTTAGCAAATCACAGACAATTTATGCTATTTACTGGTGTGCTTTAGCTTAAATCAGACTTCAAAATTTCATCAAAAAGCCTTAAGGTTGCATTTCTGTAGCTATTTCCTGGTCTTCAGGGTGAAATGCAAGATTTACTAAATTATCTTACGGCCATTTAAAGCAGGAACACTTAAGTAAAAATACCTTTAATTTCAAAACCAGATTGATTTGAAACATGCACTAGAAAACCCATTATAAAAATTACAATAAACTGCTTGATTCTTCTGTTAGGAAACAAGTGTTCTGATCACCCTGAATTCTCTGCAGGTGATCCTCCAACTTAAATAAAATAGAATTTGGGTTTCAAAAAGACTTTCTATAGAATTTCGTCTAACTCAGGTGCTATTGTGAAAAAAAGGGATTATGATTAACTTAATATTATACTACGGAACAATTTATATTGATGTAACAGAGATCGGAATGGCTTTAAACATTTTAGACTTAAATTCAGAGTCTTGTACGTCAATGAGACTTTGCAGGTAATTGCTTTGGTTGTAGGGCTGGGCCAGCTCTGGATAATAAAACCCTATTTTTTTCCCTCAAAGACTCTAAGGTGAAGCTTAAAAAACCCCCCTGTAGCAACCTATTGGGGGAGGGAAAAAAGCATATAAGAAGTAACGTTGAAAATTAAATCTTTTCCATAGAGCAATCTTCAAAAACAATCCTCCTTGATTTATGGGAATTTAACCGGAGCAGCTGACAGCTTTCCAAGGACACCCCACCTCTGCACCTGAGGTTGGTGCTGCCCGCGCAAGGAGGACAGAAGGAGTAAAGCCTTCCCACGACCGCGTTCGTCACCGTTACCAGACACCGCGTTGCCTTCTCAAATGGACTCTTTGATGTGCCACTAACTTGCCAGTCATTCTTTCAGCATCCAACTTTGTCTAAATTCCTGATTTTCAGCAAAGTCACCTAGTTTTCATAAGACTTTGTGCAAGATTTCATCTGCGATGTGATTTTTTTTTTCTTATTTCCTTTTGTTTTCTTGTGCTTTTGTTAATGTCATTCAAGTTTATTGAAAACATACTACAGATTAGTCCTCCCGTAAACAGAGTAAATCTGTTTTTAAGATCTCAGTTGACAATTTGCTGCCCCAAAGGAAGAAATGTGCAGGGAGCATTTTGCTGTTGAGTGGTACCTGGTAAGGACATGGGAATGTGCATACCCACACACCTCGTCTTCCAAGTAATTTTGAGAACTGCTGGCAATTTTGCTTTAATTTAAATTACATAATGTTAGCATGCCACATTGAGAATAAGATACGTTATTGTCAGCAGAGTAATGAAATATTTTACTGGTATCATAATGAAACAAAACTACATCCATTTTCTCTTTGAACAATCAATACTCTGTAGTTGTGCCTCAAACAATCTCCTGGGGATTCGTGTTAAAAACAGCAAAGAGAAAAACGCAGCAGCTTCACGCTCTCAGCATATGGTATTTAGCAGCATTATCATCACTTTAAATATACAGATCCCATCTACGGGTTGTACACAAACATTTTTTGAATTGCACAGAAGAGAACAATTTCATCAGCATGTACAATTTTCGTCTGTAGTCAAGGACTTTTTATAGTCTTGTATCAACTGCAATGGTAATGAATATCATGTACCTTTCAGAGACGGAAAAACCTTTAGATTTAAAACCAGTATTTAAAAATAGATAAAGTCTATTTTAAAAGGAGGCAGAGAGCTGCAGTCTTTCCATACTGAAGGCAAGCATTGAAACTTAAATAATGAACTCAGATACCACCTTTCAACATATCCGAAATGGTTCAAGAGGTGACCGAGCAAACGAAGAAGCAAAGAGACATATTTCTAATGTAAAATAAAACATGAAGATAAGCATGAAACACTTAAAGTTGGCAACATTATTTTTCTCCAGAAACATTCAAATATTTCTAAATATTTAAAAGTGAGAACATAAGAAAGCCTGGTCATCTGGTGTTAAAGAAATCTCCAACATTTGGGCTGCCAGGTAATACTACTTCTACTCAAGAAGATTTTAAAGAAACTAAAACCCTACCTTGCCTAGTTATTTTTTCCCAAATGAACCTATACAGGCAAATGGATCAGCTGGTATCCCACAACAAGAAACGCTGGAGCAAAGTGTAGAGTTATTTTGCCCCAAAAACAAACGCAAAGGACTGGGACATTTAGCTAAGCCATTCAAGTATGCCTGAAATGCTGGGAGAAGAACAGTTTGTGCAACAGGTTATCGATGTTCTGTTTGCCGTCACACAGTGATTTATGTTTCATTCTGTTCTGGGATGGCAACGATCCAATATACTTACCAGAGTCCTGAGCAGTTTGAAAATTGGAACTGCACAATCATTTGTATGCTGTATTTTTCCCATTTTCCAAAAATTATATAAAGGTGGGAAATAAAACCCAAACACCACTCTAGATATTATTTTCAGGGAAATGAAAACTAGATTTTCTTCCTCCTTTATGCATAGGTTGTTTGGAGATGGTGCATCAAATGCTGCTGCTGTTAAAATTGCAGACGAACACGCTTCTTTCTTCGCATGCAGCAGCATCGTTGTGAATTACCCACTGCGGTACAGTTGCAAAAGAGGCAAAGATGACTCCCAGGGAAAGAAAGGTTTTGGAAGCACACAGATTTCTTCGAAATCGTCTGCGCCGCTCATGCCTCAGCCTAAGCTACCAAATTGCTGCATTACAAGCAGCTGACGGATAGAGTTTTTTTTATAGTCTGTGTCCCTTTTATTAGGTATTGGTGGTCTAGTCAGAGATGATTAGCTCAAATGGCTTTAAACTGGAAGAGGAAAGATTTAGATGAGATATTAGGAAGAAATTTTTCCCAGTGAGGGTGGTGAGGCAGTGGCAGAGGTTGCCCAGAGAAACTGTGGCTGCCCCATCCCTGGGAGTGTTCAAGGCCAGGTTGGATGGGGCTGTGAGTGACCTGCTCTGGTGGAAGGTGTCCCTGCCCATGGCAGGGGGGTTGGAACTGGATGGGCTTTAAGGTCCCTTCCAACCCAAACTATTCTGTGATTCTATGGCGATTCTATGAAATTATTTAGTCAAAAAATAAAATAGTTAAGGAGAATACTACAGCTTCATGTTCACCTGCACGAGCTAACACCAACTTGCAGGAAGCTGTCTGCTCTGTTGATATCACAAGAAATTGTGGAATCCTCTAGTTTTTCCACCAGCAGTAATTGGAGATTTGCAGTTTGCTAAGTATAGACAAAACTGACTGCTCCTGGATCAGCAAAACCAGTAACTCAGCGCTAATCTTCCTGGGGCTAACACAAACTTACCCAAGATGTACCCTCAGCTCAGACAGTCTTCAGTTCTGCAAACCCAATAAATAACCCTGTACGTGAGATACCTTTCCCCAGGTCTGCTCCAAACGACGACATGGTGGACATGCATCTCAAAAGCCCCGTCTCTTTTGAGTAGCTTCAGCTGCTAGTGTCAAGTGAAGACTCCACCTTACACCATCTTAATTTTTACAATAGTTGCCTAAATCTCGTAAGGTCTACAGTAGACTAGAGCGGATGTAGGTGTGTGTTGGATAATTTGGCAGGGGAGCGGGTGGAGTAGAAGGCATACTGCCCATATGAAATGCTGTTAGACTACATGAGAAATAAACTGCAAATCTGTACAAAACTAGAAAGCGATAAGGGCTTACAGTTACACCGTAAGAAGCCCTTTTCAATTCTAAATGACAGCTTGGGGAGAACAAGCCCAAGCCTCTTTTGACAGTCCTGATGTTAAGACAGACACTATGTTCATGGAGAGAAGAGCTAATGATAAGCTGGATAAAAAGAAACGCACCAGTAACATTACACAATCACAGTGGCTTTCTACATGAAAGGTTTGTAGTGGGAGAAAGTTAACATGGCCCACACCGCAACAGAAAAAGGTGGGCTTCAGTAACCCTGAACACAGGAGCTGCTGTGTTGAATCAAATCCCGGTTTACCCAGTCCAACACCTTGCCCTTGACATCCGAGGCAGATGTCTCAAGTGATGGTGAAAGCTTATGGGATTATAAACTGGCACGTGGCATCAGGCACCAAGCTTTCAAATCCCTAAGGGGGCAGGAAAAGGTTAAATTCATTTCTTTTAATCCAGTTCTGGTTTGGTCATATTTAGATTAACCTACTGCACACAACAAACTCACCCTATATACCCTACATGAGAATAGATTCCCCATATTTTAAAATACTTGCATTTGATCAGGAAACGCTTTTCACGCTTTACCTTGCTAAATTCACTTTATTTCTACTCTCTCCTCACAACAAAACCACTACATGTTACCACAAGCAGCTTGCAAGCTGGCTCAAACTAGATTTAATAAACAGATAATGCATCCTGTCAGCCCAGACTGAGAGGTAATTCCCAAAGTCTGCTCCAGGTCACAATCTGCGTTTTTTTTCAGCATGGTGTGCACCAGTTGGTACGCCCAAATTCCAAAAACTCGGCAAAAACTCATTAGAAACCCAAGCGTTAAAAATCAGAGTGAGGAAGGGCTCTGTACCTCTGCTTGAATACTCGTGACTGATCCTGCAATTCCGTTCTCGGTGCTGATGTTATTGGAGCTGTTGTTTGGAGAGCTGGGACCAGATCCAGGAGCACTGTTGCATGCAGAGTCTAAAAACACATCCAAAAACAACTTTCAGCGTTACAAACAATCTCCGCGATGGTATTTAGATAGATAACAAGCCCTCAAGTTTTGTTTTGGAGAAAAGCAACCCTCCTCCTCCCCATCTCCCCCCTGAATCTTCCCAAGGCTCTTAAAATACTGACAAACACTTTCAAATGGTCTGTCCGAGTACCTACTAACTTTATTTATGTCTTCTTTTTGTGGGGATTTCTCTTAGAATGTATTAATAACTTTAAATACGATTGGAAGATAATAAAAGACATGGAAGGCTTGAAGAGGCCAAATTGGAGGATGTCAGATTGTCTCGCTTCATTTTTCTAGAAGTGTTTCTCTCACCTTCTTTAGCCTATAACCCTAACGCACCCTCTCGCCACGTATTGCATCAGACTTCACACTGGAATAACCAGGAAACCGTCCCAGCGTTGGTATTTTCCCATACAGGCTTCTGGTGCATCTGGATTTACTGGAAATACGTCGCCAACACCGAGCCCTCACCCTGATCATGCATGAGAGCTGAATTCTGCTTTTATAAAGAAGTACCGAGATTTTTCCGCTGCAGGCGAGTGAACACATGTAATGTCCCCATCACCTGCGACGTGACCACATCGTGCTGGGTCCTTGGAGAAACACAACCTGCCTTGGGCTGCCCTTCACATAGCACAACAGCTCCCAAAAACCGCCTGAGGACTGACTCACAAGGATAATATTTTGCCAGGACAGCAAATTAAATCATTTTAAGAGATTTAAAAGCTGCCTGAGTGACATCGGACTGGACGGACAACAGGCCATGGTCGTGGCTGAGCACATTTTACAAAAATCAGGCAAAACTCTACAGGGTCCAAAACAATAAATCTGTTTCATATCACTGTTCGGGTTTTTTTTTTTTCATTTGATAAGTCTTCTCAGGGAGTAAAACACTTTCTCATTGGAAAGACCCAAGGCAGAGTTAATCCCCCAAAATAATTCTTTTATCACCTGAATGCTCAGAAAAATCCTCTTAGCTTTGTATATTTTATCAACACGTTCCCTGTGAACTCACTAACCAGAACGACGGAGATGACCAGCCTGAAATCAAAGCCTCCCCATTAACGATACAGAAACAATAAACAGAAACAGCGCATGAAATTGCAACCGCCAGAAAACTTCCCTTCAGAAGGTCTCTCACCTGGTGCATGGCAGAGTTTCCAGTGTTTCTCCTTTTATTTTGGAAGGTAAATAACATTAAAGCTTTTTTCCTGAACTTTCCTCCTCCCCAAGCACAGGATTTGCCCAGTGCCAGAAGAATCTCCCAGCAGCTGCAATGATTCAGGCTGCAGCAGTCTCATAATTGCTCTAGGATGCCCCAGTAGAAATAAAAGCCGATTGTTACAATTTGGGGGATTTAAAAAAATTATTTCTTTTGTGGATTTATTCCGTACATGCTATTGCTATTTTGATCCTTGCAAGTACCTCCAGCAAAGTAGGAAAGAAAAATTTTTTTTTTTTTAAAAAAAAAGAAGCCTTGTTGCTTTTTGTTGGCTGTGCATTTGGGGAGGCATCTCACTATCAAGAAAAGTCAGTGCTGAATAACACCCAGCTGAGGACCTAACATTGAACTTCTCCATAGAAAGCAACTTCAAAGAGTCTATGTGTTATGAAAAATTATTCCAATTGCATGGAAAATAGGTGCTTTTTCTGGGACCATATCATTAACTACAACACACTAGAACTTGCGCGTACTACCTAGACATAGGAAAAGTACCCGGCACATACAAACCGTATTCTTCAGGGATTAAACCTAATTTCTATTCCCTAAATTGGCACTTCTTTGAAAAGTTATTTTCCATTCAAAAGTCCCCTCTTACCCTAACAACTCAGATATTTTTTTTAGCCAGGCTCCAGGCTGGCTTCTTGAATCAGGTCCATGCTCAGTGAGAAGCAGGAGCTCCCACTGCCATTTCTGAAGGCATTACTGGGATCAAACGGTCAGCCGTTAGAGTCTGATTTATCCTAAAAGCCATGTGACATATAGCAATATATGAGTGAAGTAATACGATTTTCAGATCTGATATAAATCACGTTTAGCTCTTGAAATCATCTATTCCCTCTGCAAACAGAGAGGCTCTGACACAGAATGGTGCATAGCTACTCGAGGGTTGCCCGAAACCACTGGGCTTTCTAAAGAGAGTTCACTTTGAGTTTGTTTGAATGACGATAGCGTGCCTTGAAGTGAGACAAGTCTGGAGAAGCCGTGACATGGCGGTACTTACACAGAGGCATCCCTAGATGGTGCTAAGAATTAACTTTATGGTAATCTACATCATCGACTTTACTCTGATCCCTCCGTACAAACTTTACTCCCAGTAGAATACTATTTTTCAATAAGAAACTGTCAAGCAGTCAAAAATATCAGCTATACATACGTATAAAAAAAAATGCCTTACAGGTTTCAAAACTTTGGCATAATTACTTAACGACGAACTATGGCTGTCTGCCCAATGGCTAAAACAAACAGGGGCTGTAAAGCATTTACTGTTAGAGGACAACAGCCGTGAATTATGATCTCCTCATTGATATTAATAGGATCACCGTTGAGAACTTCGATTTCTCAACAACCTGCTGAAGATCATAGAAATGCCGGGGGAAAAACCAAACAGCACTCTGGTGACATATTTACATCTGTCTACGCATGTCTCAAAACAAACTACAACAAAAAAAGCTCCTTGAGTTGGTAACGCTGTCTCAATAGATGGGTACCTAACGGACCAACGCTGCTGACGCCCACTTGCATCAGCCACTGCTGAACTCTGCCACCTTCATCCAGGTTTCACCAACGCTGAGAGGCACACGAGAGATCCACATTGCGCAATTAACAGGCTGCAGGATTTAATTTCGGAAAGGGACATCTCATTGAGTACGTGCTTGCCGATGTAGATTTGTTGCTTACCCGACGTACCTGTGACATCCAGCGGGCGCTTCTTAAGAGCAGTAACCACTGGACCATCTTTTCTGCGCAAGAGGGGGCTGCTCCGTCTTTCAGCAACTTTTTGCTTTAGTCTGGATCGTAACTTCAGATTGGGTTCAGACGCTGAACAGAAAAAGGAAAAACAAACAGTGTTTTGGTTAATCGTATTTCAGTAGTTTTTTTACTCAACGCAAAGCCTGGGTTGCAGTTCAGCATTTGCAGAAGTCTAAGCAAAATTACTCATTTGATAGCATATATTTGGAACAAAGACCTCTTAGCGTAATGAACAGGTCCCAGCCTATGCGATATCTGAATTCACTGGCAATGAAAGTCATTTTACTTAAGAAATAATAATTATCCTGCGACGTCTCGTCTCAAATGAAGATACAGACTTACAGTCACTCAGCCTACTGCAGACAGTATCATTCACATCCCCTAGTTCCCCACCTCCGCCCAATTTACTTCCATGCCACTGGTAAACCTAACCTATGGGATCAAAAAAATCAATGTAGGAATTGGTGAGACAACTGAGATGTTGCTGTTTGGTCAGCGTGGAGCATGCGATGCAATTTGCAATGCGTTGCTGAAACGGGCAGCTCCACACCCTCGGAGTCATCGGACCCCAGGGTGAGCTGGCTTAGCCAGGTATGCCAGGGGAAGGGGAAAGAAAATATGAAAAATCAAAGCCCACAATCAAAACAGGTGAATGTTTTCCTGCTGGTTCATCTCCCTGAAGCAACTCACCTTGGAGTCAGACGCGCCTGTGTCAACTGGAGCCAGTGTCAACTCAAGAAATAGGGTATGAGAGTGTGGCCAAGGGAAAAGCCAATGCCAGGGAGGAGAAGGTTTGTTTATTTGGGGAGTAACTTGGTTACATCATCACAACCACAAAGTTAAACCGTATCTAAAAACGCATCAAATACTTTGAAAATTCAGAGCCACCAAGGGTAGGTGTGCATGAATTTCCCGAGACCACAGTCTGACTTGCTTTGTGTACATCATAATTTTGAGAAACTTTCTTAAAAAACTTCTGCTGTACCCAAATCCTGGAGAATTCATTTCTCCAAAAGTCAAAGCAGAGCTCTTGGGATACCCTAATGCCTCGGGGTTAAGGACAGCTGGCAACACTGAATGCGTTTGCACGGTACAGCTTATCAAGTTTTTATAAAGGTAATGAAGCCTTAAGTCAAGATTCCTCCTGCAAGATGATTTTCTCTGTAAACTTGCTGATCTCTTGAGTATACATGGAATATCTGCTTTGGCGCTTGAGGGGCCCTGACAGTTATGAGATTTGTGAACTGGCTCAATCTTTTCCCTTCCTCAACCTCTTAACAACTCTGTGGCTTAATCCCTTTGAACCGGCAAATCCTGTGCTCTCACCATTAACTACTGATACACTCAGCTCTATATACTCCAGGGCCAATGATCTACATTTCTTTAGAAGAATTAAAGTGGGGTTTACAAACTGATTTGAATTAACTGAGTCTGGCCACAGATATACTTCCCTACAGTTGGCTTTGACCACTGGGTCACGTAAAAGATCAAGCCTGGCAACGTTAATTGCTGGGCTCAAAAATCAGAAGGCTGATGAATACAAGATCAAATGCTTGGAGTTAAGCCATCAAAACAGTTCTTTGATGAAACTTTTGGGAGTGGGGGGAAAAAAAAAAAAAGAGCTTTTCATTTTCATAAACGTTTTGGACAGAAAAACGCCAGCAAGAGATAAAGGGAGCACTAAAAAAAAGTGTCAGACTCCTAAAGATGCTTAAAATGCAGTATAAAGTGCATTAGCAAGGGGGGAATCATCTTATAGGGCATTTGCATATAAAATGGCAGGGGACTGAATGCAAATCTGCCATTGCTCGGAGGGCAACGTTAGAAGAGTGGACTGGTTAAAATACAAGCATACGCTCTAACTAGCTACTTTATAAAGTTCTCTTCAAAGCAGAAGCTGACTTATTATTTTAAAAGTAGTCTTTGGGTACGTGAACATTCGGTACCTCATCCCGCATCCTTCAATTCACAGCTTTAATTTGTTCCAAATATTGAGTATTAGTAACTGCCTAGATGCTCCAGTCAAGACTTTAAAGAACAAATGGGAACGTGTCACAGCTAGACGCCGATACATCCATTTTAGACACGTCTGCACTGCCAACCAGCAAATGAAATATAAGCCTAGGCCACAGCTGCTAAAAGGATCTGTTTTCTGACAAAGACAAACATTACAATAAAAACTGTACTTCAACCCAAATTTTATTCATATGCAATTTATACCCTGTGTGGTGTTCATCTGAAATACGTTCTCTGTTCGGAACAGACGAGTAATTGTGCAGCTTTCAAATAGCGAGAATTAATTGGTTAGAAACACCTTAAAAATGGGCAGGGAAACAAAAGATCTGGGGTCACAGACTACCCAACAAGACCACATACGTCCCATACGTAAAGCCACAATAAAAACATCCTTCCAAGTAACAGGAAAGGAATGAACATAGAAAATTACAGCCTTAAAAGAGAAAACACCTCGAGAAGAAGTTCTTGCGAAAGCAGCGTATTATAATTTGTCAGACAAAACTATTTTCAGGCAAAACTATTCCGTGTATTTCTCCTTCGCTTCGTCAGCTGAAGGAGCAAGTTTTGAAACACGAAACATTCTACTTAAAGAGCTGCATTTGTTTCGTTTGCTCTGAGTTTGTTGTTTATCCCCCAGATATAATCCCAAATCTAACATGGCATCAAGACCTCGGAGAGTATAATCCCTACAGGCCTTTAATTGGGGGCTATATAGCCCAAAGTAGGGGAATTAAAATTCAGCACAGGCAGTGCAGAACAGTCTCAAATTCAAAAAATCTACATATAGTATATTTTATAATAAAAGATGTCGTTTTCAACATAAGCACTGCCAAAACTCAAAGCAATAATAAAAAACCATCTGAATAAGCTTAAAACTACCATATAATAAAAAAATATTTTTTAAGCTGAAGAGAGCTGTCCTTCTAAAGTATAAAATAGCAATTAAAGCAACACGTAACTATCGATACCAGACAGTCAACAGAGGTTCAATGTTCTCTCAGGAACACCAATTCAACTGAAAATCTCCCGATATTCACTCTGTCAGGCAATATACCCAAACAAGGCCTTGCTCCCCATCACCGCTAACTCACGTAAACTTAAAGAGAACTGGAGATTAAATTACAAAACTGACGTGTCTTCTACATCTTAAGGTGAAATCTTTTAAACAAATGCCATGAAGCCATCGAAAAATCAGTTCGATTCTTGTTTAGCAAACAAATGAAGCCCATGCCCAAGTCTGAGTCAGCTTCCACAAAGCCAGTGGGATTTCTTAAGCAGTGACATACTTAATTTGGCCTATAATAAGGATTTATACAAAGAATATTTTGTTTTCCTCCAAGTAAATTAATAACTAGAACATAAGCCAAAAGCTTCCCTAGTTTTCACAGGCTCAAACCCAAGTTACCCCTCTTATACGTCATTTATTGCAGCAGGACCCATGTAATCCAATTCTTCAACATTTATGTCATTCTCATTGTTTTCTTCCTAGAATTGCATCCCCTAAGCTGCTGAACTAATCTGACATTAAGTCTATGTAAGTCAAAAAACACAAAGTCCTGGGCAGAGTTTGCCCTGTTCCCATTACTTGTCCACATTTATGAAAAAAAAGCAAGCAATGCACCATGAAAACCCTGATCCCGGTCCTTGCACATCTTAATTTTGGCAGCTGGGGACTGAGATGGGTTGTTACTCTTTTAATATTAATTTTTAAGCTTCATACTAAGCCTTACCAGCCAGGCAAAGGCCAACACAATTATTTTGTCTCTCTTCTAACGTCCAGGTCACCCCATTGGCAAACACAGGGGGAGGGAGAGAGATAGGCGTCTGAAAATAGCCTTTTGCACAACCCAATATTTTAATAAAGAGAAATTATCTTTTGTTTAGGCAGGAGAGACCACACGTTCTGCAATTAAGCTCTGGCTCCCCACTTTGCAGCTTCTTTGTTCCTTGGTTGGGTCTATCCCACATCTTCATTACTGCTCCTCTGTTTGCATGGTGTGGTCTTTCCTCTCCAAAAATAGTGGATCCATGATCTATCTACTCAGGAGGACCTGGTAAAGCTGGACACGGTAAAGTTCACCTATGGTCAAACAAAAAGGTTGAAAATTGTTTCACTGTTATCCTTCTGAAGCCCAAGCAAGGCAAGGTTCTTGATTTTCAATACTTGTAGGCATCAACATAGAGGGGGACAAGAAGGGGTCCCACAAATGTATCTAGGGGAGACAAGTACCACAAGGCAAAAGCGGCAGCAGAAAATCCCCAAACTAGAAAGAAAACCAAGAATAAAAACAAGTCAGCCTGTTCTTCTGAAGAAACAAACTATTTTTTTATGATCTTGGTCCCATGTTGGATGGCGTCACCTGAAATAACATGTGTAGGAACACAGGTACATGATTAGAAAGGGCTAGATAAAGATATTTGCCGGATTTTCCTTCTTTTCTCCTAAATCTGTGCTGGCACCAGCACTGCGCAAGAGCTCTGTGGAAGGGTTATTTATGGAAGTACTGTGTCCTTAAAATGAAAGCTTTAATAAGTTTAAAAGGCCAATATTTAGCACTTTTCATGCTGAAATTTAGTAGTCACAGCATCTCAGCAGTAGAAAGAAGGCTTTAACACCCATTAAACCGAGCACACAACAGTTTTACAGTTTCACCATCATTCGCTTGCCTGACTACAAAACCACGCAAAAATTGCAGCATAACGGAGCACCACAAAGGTTTCCGCTGTGCATAGCCAAAACTGGAATAGAAAAAAAAAAACACACACACATGCCACATCTCGTGTCTGTCTTTCCAAAGTCTAAATAAAGGCAGCAGCTTTGCACAGTTCGAAGTATTATCTGAGAGGAACGATAAGAGACACGTGGAAAGGGATAAGGAATAGAAAGGAGAGAATGAGTTCCTCCAAGCAAGTTTCTTCAAGAAAGTGTTTAAAACATCACTAAGCTCTGCAGAAGGTAAGAAAAACATGCCATTTCTGTCCAGCAACCAAAAAGCTGCAGTGCCTGTAGCAGAGGGAGCTACCAGCTGCCTTAACGCGAGGGCAGGGAGCAG